GAGTAGGAGAGCTGGAAGTTAATGTCTGAAGAGACAACGCCTGCGGGATGCAGGGGTCTCCCCAACCAGTGAGTTTGAGTTTGAGTTTGAGTTTATTGGGATTTATAGGCCGCCCTTTTCCCTGAGGGGACTCAGGGCGGCTTACAACCACAAGGGAGGGGGGTGCAGTGTCAAAAAAACAAAACAAAATGTGAACAAAGAAAAATAATAAAAACACAACTTTCGTTCAGCAATCAAACACTCGGGCGGGTGAATTGGAAACCTATCCCCAGGCCTGCTGGGAGAGCCAGATCTTGAGGGCTGCGCGGAAGGTCTGGATGGTGGTGAGGGTACGGATCTCAACGGGAATTGAAATGAATAATAACAGAATGAATAAAGTGGTCCACTTTACGGTCCCAATTCCTGAAACTGCTTCCCAATGAAACACAAAGGCAGCAGTCTGGATAAAGTGGCAATCTCTGTCTTGTACAGAGTGCGTATTTATTAGAAAAAGTTAGTTACAGCGTCATCAAAAAGGAACGTATCAAAAGGCATATATAATCACACATGGCATAAGTAAACTAATAAAAAGTTCACAGCATTCTACAAATCACATCATGGCAAAGGGTGGGCAAAAGGGGGAACAGAAGATTTACAAGCTGCATGGCATTGAGAGGGGGAGAGAGGGGATAGAAAGTTATAACTCAGCATAGGGGGGAGAAAGGGCATGTGTGGGAGTAACTGGTTCACATAGTTCTTGTTACATGAGGCTGTATTTATGACCGTTAGGCCATAAAGATGTTTTCTGGTGCAAGGTTGTTCATCCCTGTGTATTTGTGTTTCAGATAGCAGAGGCTTGTCCTGCACATAAACACCCGGAATGAATTCCAACACTTTCTTATCTTTCTCTTTGACACGGCCTTGGTAAATTTCCACTAGGTTCTTAATTCAGATAGCTTTGTCTATTCTTCTTTGTTTCCTAGCTATTTTACCTAGCCTGTTATGGCGACAGTTTGGCTCCCACAAATGTCCTCCAAAATAAACTAGTATTTGCCTTCTGATATGTGTGATTAGGATGGAGTATAATTTGTTTAGGTAAAATCCAGTGCATGGTTGGTCTTTTCCATACTAGGATGCTCTCTGAATAAAATAACTTCATGTGTTGGGCATTTCCCCCCAGTTTATTGGGGAAAAAAGTTGCTGCTTCTTTGATTGGATTATAGCTTAGTTACGTGATATGCTGTTTAAAATATAAAACTTTTTGACAGACAAATTTGCATGCTTTTTGTTTTATCTTCTCATAAAACTGCTTTTCCGAAAGTTGATTTAAAACCTTTTGATTCTTGATTCATTTTTCTCACTCGTGTACCTCATGCAGATTTGAATCAATTGGATAAAAGTGACAACTGTATCCATGTATATCAGAATGAAATATATCACAAGAATGCCAAGAAAATAAATGCCTGAGATACACAGGTAATCCTCGACTTACAACAGTTCATTTGGTGGCCATTCAAAGTTACAACAGCACTGAAAAAAGTGACTTATGACCATTTTTCTCACTTATGACCTTTGAAGCATCCCTATGATCATGTGATCAAAATTCAGACACTTGGCAAATGACTCATACATATGACCGTTGCCACGTCCCAAGGTCATGTGATCACCTTTTGCAACCTATAAGCAAAGTCAATGGGGAAGCAGTCATTCACTTAATAATTGTGGCAAGGAAGGTCATAAAACGGGGCAAAATTCACTTAACAAATGTCCCGCTTAACAACAAAAATGTTGGACTCAATTGTGGTTATGAGCTGCGGTGACGCAGTGGTTAGAGTGGAGTACTACAGGCTATTTCTGCTGACCACCAGCTGCCAGCAGTTTGGTAGATTGAATCTCACCTGACTCAAAGTTGACTCAGCTTTCCTGTCAGGGTTCCAAGTAATACCTTCAACGAAAGAAGACTCGAAAGCTTGAGTTTCCTCAAAGTTCCATTTCATTAGAGATGTCATATTGATACATCTGGGAAAACCCGAATCTGAAAGCTTCCAGGTTTTCCCCACCCAAAAGAAAGTTCAAGTTCCTGCCCAGCACCCACAAGTCCATCACATGATCCAATCAGGAATCATCCAAGCTAGGAGTTACTTCCCAGTCACCTCATCGCAACTGCAGGCCAGTTGACCTTGACTTTCTGAGAAAGAATATTGTCATGGCTACATATCACCTATACTCTGTATAATCCCCCCTCCCATTTTCTCACAGTAGAAAATGTGGCAGATCTGAAGACCAAAAGATAAAAGATGGCTTCCAAGTCTGACCCAGATTGTTGGGGGCAATATGCCAACTCTGTAAACTGCGTAGAGAGGGCTGTGAAGCAGTATACAAGTCTAAGTGCTATTGATATATGTTGAGGACTACCTGTAGTGCTAAAAGTGTAATATTTGCAGCAAGATTACTGCATTTTACTGAGTAAAGTTATTTTCTGAAAATTTTATTCATTTATGTAACAAATTTTTGCAGCCACCCAACTCTCAAAAAGGTGACTCTGGGCAGCTTACAACATTTAAAAAATCCGACGTATAATAAAAACTCATTAAAAAAATATCCCCATAAGACAGTGAAATCATAAGACAGTGAAATCAGCCACTTGATCGCTACCATCTCCATTTGTGGTCCCCAGGCCTGCTGAGAAAACCACGATTTTAGGGCCTTTTGGAGAAAGCAACAAGGTGGGAAGGCAATTGTACCTTGGAGGAATGATGTTCCATAAAGATTGGGCTACCCATGAGAAAATTTATGTTGCTAAGTGAAACATTTGCTAAGTGAAGGGTGCCCCATTTTACATCTTTTTTTTTTTTGCCAAACTTAAGTTTATCACTGCAGTTGATAAGTTAGTAACAATAACCAGGTTGCTAAGTTATTGTGAATCTGGCTTCCCCATTGACTTTTGCTTGACAGAAGATTGAAAAAGGTGATTGCATGACCTTGGGACCCTGCAACCATCATAAATATGAGTCAGTTGCCAAGCATCTGAATTTTGGTCATATGACCATGGGGATACTGCAACAGTCTTAAGTGTGAAAAATGGTCATTAGTGATTTTTTCCAATGTTGCTGTAACTTTGAGCAGTCACTAAATGAACTGTTGTAAGTTGAGGGCTACCTGTATATCCCTATTCGATGATACCTTGTCCAGACTTCCCATCCTGTAGGCTGGGTGGATGTAATGGGGGAGACCACAGTCTTTCAAATAGCCTGGCTCCAAGGTATATAGGACATTAAAGATGATAACCAGCACCTTGAATTGTACCTATTGTTTCTATTTCAATGTTTTAATTGGGAAAAAGTAGTCAATAGTAGTCCACAATGTGAGGTACAAATAACACCAGGAATAGATGGGGAGTTCCTTATTGATTCCCCAGTTTTTAATATGTAAAACAAATTATGTCATTTAGGTGTATAATAACATATTGTAATTGTAACAGCTTTGCTGTTATTCTTGCACTATTAAATTTTGGAGAATCTTTTGTAACATAAAAAACACACAATGCTACACGTACAACAATAATTATAACATTTCACAACTGGGTTGCCTATGTTACTTGGGTTGATCTTATTGTATAGTCATTAAGATTTGTTACCACATGTCTATAGGAAAATGAGTGAGTAACATTCATATTGTTATGTGCTCACAAAATATTAAGACATATTGACTAGAGGCATTTCACAGTTACGATAATTCAGTGGGAAAATTCTCAGAAGCAATAAGGTGAACCTTAAGATTAAAGCATTGAGTTGAAAAAAAATAATCCAATTATTTATAGAAAAGTAAATAGACCAGGTAGCAGATGACCATACAACTGATCTGGCAATTAATTTACTTATGTTTCTTAATATGAAAGATGGGACAGTTGGTTAAACAGTTAAAAATTGCCAATTTTTTTAAAAATGTATATAAGTACAGAGCAACCCCTGCTCCCTTCTAGCACTGATATTGTTATCTAATTTGGTAATGCAACATCTGCAAGAAAGCATCCAAGTTCACAGAGCATCAAGGAGTCCACAACAGAGACCATACTGGAGGAGATCATCTGGGAACAGGTGATTTTATGTTTGCCGTGTGCATTTTGGCAAGTATTTTGCTATAGGAGCTCCAACAGATTTCTATAATACCCTGTTTCCTTGAAAATAAGACGTTTCTGGATAATAAGCGCAATCAGGCTTTTGAACGTATGAGCTAAACTAAGCCCTACTCCAAAAATAAGCCCTCCCCATAAATATTACAATACAGCAGCAGCCATGAAGTAACCATGCTCCCCGCCTCCTGCACCTAAAAAATAATAAGACCTCCCCAAAAATAAGGCCAACTGCTTATTTCGGGGTCAGGGAAACACAGTAACAAATATGCTCACTGATCTAAAAGGATTGGCTGCCTCTGACCTATATATCTCATTTTTAGTGATGCTACTTTCTTCCATGTTTACATGGAAGAAAATCTGTTGTCCTGGATTGTTAATTAAAAATATAACAGATTGCAAGAACTTACACAGTTTTTATAATTGATTTCATAGCTTTGGATCCTAGGATTTCTTGCACAAATGGGAGGTTAGGGTTCTTCCTCCTAGCAGCTAACTGTCCCTGTCCCAATAGATATTTGCTCTTTTCTGCACATGTCATTGTGAACTGTTCTAGAATAATCCTAAAAGTGACTTTTTCCAAATATGATACGTTATGTGAAAGAATTGTTTGGATCAAAGCCATAAATGTTTCTTCTATTCAAAACCGACAAAAAGATGACAATGATTGTTACATGGTTTTTGATAAGAACTCACAAAAAAATGTGCCTGTAAGCCCATATAAAATATTTAAAAAAAATATAGATAGTATTTAACTAACTGGCTCTCTTTTAGGAATGTTCAACTTTTTTCAAGCTTCATATTTTAAATTCAAAGGATAATGGCAGAATTTGTTTGATTAAGAATTTTGTTGTTAAATAACTCTAAAAATTGTCTGCTTTCTCTTCAGCTATTTGCATCATATTGGTGCATTTATTGATAAGATACAGACTGCATTTCTTGCCAGAGAGTGTTGCCGTTGTTTCCCTAGGTGAGTACTGATAGTAGCAGGAAAATTTATACTGTTCTGTTTAAATAAATGTCACTGGTATTTTCAAAGTCTAGATTGTAATTTAATCCAAGGTTTGCTTTTTTTTGGGTTATTTGCCTATATAATGCATTTCCTTTGTAAGATTCAACACAGTGTAAGTAGATCCCCCTCTCCCCCCGCCAGGGCTCCATAGAAAAATCCTGTGAAGTTCACTAATGTGAAAGGGAGAAATAATATGATTGGTTCTAAGTCAATTTATTAAGACAATTTATGAGACAGATTTATATGGCCAGGACGTGGGTGACTGTGAGAAGGGCAGTCACTGATTATCATGGCAGAATAAGGATTTTAATTTACAGCCCTCAGATTGAAGGTTCTTTAATCATGAAGATTGTACATATTCGTTTTAAAAGAGTGAAGGATGCAGATTATTATTGTGCAAGGAGGAATGGCAATATCCACAACCCTCTCTGTAGATCTGGCACTGCTGTTGGCAGTTTCAACATCTTCTCTGCTTGAGGTAGATCAGAACTGTGAAAGATATAATCTTGAGCATTCTGGGACTTGCTTTTACCTTGCCTAATAAGCGATTGATACTCTGATAGCTGCCATAGGAGCATTTTGCTTTGCTATTTTAGAATATTATTCTAAATTATTCACTAAGGCTGCATTACTATTACTATCATCGTTCCTATCACCCATCTCCTCCCACTTGTATGACTGTAACGTCTTGCTTGTATCCTTACAATTTATATTGATATTGATTGTTTCCTGATTACTTACTTGTACTCTATGACTATTGTACCTTATGATTCTTGATGAATATATCTTGTCTTTTTATGTACAATGAGAGCATATGCACCGAAGACAAATTCCTTGTGTGTCCCATCATACTTGGCCAATAAACAATTCTGTTCTGTTCTATTCTGTTCTATTCTATTCTATTCTATTCTATTCTATTCTATTCTATTCTATTCTATTCTATATGAAAGAGCATCGCCCTAGCTGAGTCTGAGTGTTCTTTCTCCTCACCCTGTATGACATTTTTTTAAAAACATCCAGATAGCAATAGCACTTAGACTTATATACTACTTCACAGTGCTTTCTAGCCCTCTCTTAAGAGGTTTACAGAGTCAGCCTATTGTCCCCAACAATCTGGGTCCTCATTTTACCCACCTCAGAAAGATGGAAGGCTGAGTCAACCTTGAGCCTGGTGAGATTTGATCTGTCAAACTGCTGGCAGCCGGTGATCAGCAGAAGTAGCCTGCAGTTCTGCACTCTAACCACTGCGCCACTGTGGCTCTTGGCCCATCATTCTCATTGTCATCAACCAATGTGACTATTAGATAAACTATTGTGCCTGATGGATGGTATTGACCAACAGATATGAAGGTAATTGGATTGATCTTAGCTGGTCTTTGAGAACCCTAACTTTAGCAGCAAATAGAGAGTCATCTCTTTCTGGATTATGGTTGTTATTTCAGCCATTGTGTAGATTGTTCCCATAAATATATGAACAGCTGTGCTACCTTTCTAGGGCATCAGCAGGAAAAACTATAAAATCTGGTAACTTGCATAATAAACAGTATGTGTGCTTACACTTAGATGGACGCAGACAGAGTTGTTATGAACAGAACTCACAGAGTGAACTAAAGAATTTATGATGCGATAAACTTGTGGTCCTTTCTCTCCCTCATTTATGATTAGATAAATATATTAATTCTCTTAAGCTGAATTCAACTCCTCATGCCTGGCTGGATATTTTTGGGACTTTCCCTGCTAGTTTACAGTCTGGAATTTCTTAATAGTCTCCCATCCAAGTACATTTAAACTCAACCCTATTTAGTTTATAAACATGGACAGAATAGCTAGGTATTTACTGCTTGCTGGAGTTAAAGATGACTATGAATCAATCTTGGCCCGTGGAGACTCCATGGATACTCTGTTTTTCTTGGCAGCAGTATGGAAGTGATTTGCCATTGCTGTCTTCTGACAGAGAGAAATGGGCCAGTATTAAAAATTGTAGGATGAAGCTGGTTTAAATGTAATCCACAAAATGTAATCCACATTACATTTTGTAATCTACAGTCTGAATTCTTTACCACCTCCTTGAGATCTTGTGCTACTCCAGAGCCCTTCAAAGAAAATTCTGTAGAGCATTGTCAAAAGATAGGAATGCAAATGAGTTAAAAGGTAATATTACCAGTTTTGTTTTCAGGGAAGAGCAAAATACATGATCATAATGAATCACCTGCTTGTCCCATGCAGCTGTTTCACTTAGTTTTGTAATCAACATAAAAAGCTCAAAATTCTGAAATGCCTTCTCTATTGTTGGACAGATGTCCAGATAACTAGAGCTTGCTGGCCTTAGGAAATGCCCTGAAAACATGACTGTTCCCTCAGTCACTAAGGCATGAGCCATTGTGTGTTATGGGCAACGTGAAATTTGACCCTAGCAACTATAAGTATTTATATCTTCCTTCCTTCCTTCTTACCTACCTATCTATCTACCTACCTTTATTTCTTTATTTCCCTATTTATTTTCCATATTACTGAGTTGTTTTTGTTGTCAGTTGCTTAAAGTTACTTGACAACTGTTGTTGTATATGCAATAAATAAATAAATAAATGCTAAGCTCTTCAGTTGCCCAACTTGAGGGGTTGTGAAATTGTTCTTCAAATATCAGAGCAGCTAATACCAACTATAGAGCTGTTTTCAGTTTCCTCTTCTGGTCTCTCAGCAGATTGGATCTGTTATTAATAACATCAAGACAGACAGGATAAGCCCACAAGCCAGAGCTTTATGAGAAAATTTGCAGGCATAATGAGGATGAGGAGGAAGGAATACAGGACCCCTGTTTGAGACTATATTTCCTTTTAAAGTACTCACATGCAGTGAGTACTTTCAATTATCAGATGAACAGATGAATTATTCTTTGTCTGTTTGTTCTTTTTAGGTATCTTGATGGGTGCAGTTATAAAAATTATAGAATCTCAAAAGCTGGCCAACTGGAAGGTATGTCAGCAATTTTTACAATATATTTATCATATAATTGATGCCATACTTACTTTAAATAATTCAGCTTGAATGCTCAACTCCCAATTACTGTAATATTCTTTTCTTTATTGCTAAAGAAGAAAGAATTTTTTTTATTGGTCTTCTCAGTTCAATAAGCTGTACAAACAGCTAGCTGATAATTCTAGAAGTTATAATCCAACACATCGATCATATCAGAGGTAGCTGGCATACCATATTTTTCGGAATATAAGGGACACTTCCCCCCCCCCCAAAAAAAAACAAAGAGGGTGAAAATCTGGGTGCATCTTGTACACTGAATACAGCATTTTTGACCTCCCAAAACCTTGCTCCCGCACATCCTGTTTTCCGGAAAAATGGACACATAGAGGATTTGGGATGCCTGGTTCTGGGGGCTGGGGAAGGCAAAAATGAGCAAAAAACAAGCTCCCAGGAGCACACTACAAGCCACCCAAACCCTATGCATGCCCTGTTTTTGCAAACAACGGGGCAGGCAGAGGGCTTTGGAGGCTTGCAGAGTGCTCCTGGGGGCTGGGGAGGGCAAAAATGAGCAAAAATGGGCTGGTTTTTCCCCTCTTTTTTGCCCTCCCCAGTTTCCAGAAGCACTTTGCAGGCCTCCCAAACACTCTATGCGTCTTAAATTTACCTCTTCAAAATCTTGGTGTATTTTATACTTCAGTGTGTCTTATACTCTGAAAAATACGGTAATTATAATTACACAGCAGTTGAGAGTGTTATTCTGCCATGAAAACATGATGCCTAAAAAACATTGCAAAATGGAGTATACCTGTTTTGTATTCTATAAACTCCTTTCCCAAGGACTCACCAATCACTCAGTTTTTATTGAGCATTTTGGGGGGAAATGGGGGAACCTCTTCTTTACATTTTTAATTAACCCTAAAATGTTTTTGTACTTTTATAAAACTGAGATTTCCTAAGCCACTGATAGGCAACCTGCAGTCAACAGTACTCCTTTTGTGATCTCATGGAATGAATAAGAACAGCTAATTTAGGGGATTTGAGGAATTAAGAAGGGAAGGATTAAGGTTTGTTAGGATTAAGAGGGAAAGTAAGTATATTTAATTCTTTAAAGCCCACCAAAAGGTGAGAAAGAACCAAAATCTACCCTAGTCATATTCAGTTAAAAACTGCATTCTGAACTATCAAAAGATTTCCCTCTATATATTTTTATTCCAGGATCCCTAATTTTAAATATAGAATTTTAGATTCTGTAGATTCTACTTAATAATAATACATTACTTCACTATATTATCTTTGTTATTATGTTGCCTATTTTGACAATTCAGATATTAGGGTAGTACTTTCTTTGAGGTTTCTCAATTCTTCCTCCTCCTATTTTCTCCCCAAGTGCAATCCTGTGAGGTGGGTTGGAAAACTTAAATGACTAGGTTAAGAATAGATTGTCCTCGAACAAACCTATCTGTATGATGACTAGAAATCAACAATCATTTTGTGGCACATACTGTAATAAAATGTTCCTATTTTTATTTGAGTGCAGGATTTACCTTTGTTCCAATATGGTATTATTCCCTTTCTCATATATCTCATAATTTCTTCATCTTTTTTGCAGGAAGAAGAAATGTTTCGTCCTAATATGTTTTTTCTTCTTTTACTTCCGCCAATTATATTTGAATCTGGGTATTCATTGCACAAAGTGAGTGTTTTTTTGGTTGTTCGTTACAATGATTTGTATACAGCCTACTCAAGGTCAATTACAATAGTAGAACAAGCAGAAAACAATATTGCAAAATCCACCAGCCAGAAACAATACTACATTTCATTGAAATTATAAACCTCTAAAACCCTCTAAAAGCTCCGGAATTAATGGAAATAATTGGTGTTGCCCAAATCATTGATGGACCAATATATGCCAGGCTTGCCCTTTATATCTGGTTTCTGTGGTTAGCCAGAATGAGTTTGAATGTGTCATTCCTGAAGAAGTGGAAAGGGATATTAAATTATAAACTTTTTATTAGATCCACACTTTTCCTAGCTGCTGAAGATTACACATAGCGTGCCATGGTTGACTCCATTCAGTAATGGAAAGAAATGATCAGAGATAGCCAGTTTATGGAAAGGCCCAATTGGCATGCTGAGCCTGTCTTCTGGAGCAGCATTTTCCCAGAAGTTCATTTTGTTTCTTTTCTTAGTTTTAAAGGCCATTCAATATATATGGTGTCGTCCCCCCCTCCAAGGTATTGGGTTAGAGTAGGTGGTAAAACTCTTACAGGTTTTTTTTTCTTGGATGGTTTTCTCTTCTCTGGGGAGGATCAGTCCTTTCTTTTTTGCTTCATTATATGGTTTTTTATTATTGTTTATTCTGAGAAGAAAGCAAAGATGAGCCTCAGTCTGCATAGATAGTAATGTCTCTGGATCTGAAAGTCCAGTTTATTCATGCCAGATATGTATGAATTACCAATATTTACACATGGATGAGGAAGTACATCCTGTGCTTCTCCAAACCATGTATTTATTTTTCCCCTAATTATGTGTTGCACAACATTAATTTTTACATTTGCTTGGATTCAGGTCCTGATATGGTTGCAGGTGATTTTTGGTTCATAGCATTTTCAAACCTCTTGCATTTTCTTATTTTAGGGGAACTTCTTCCAGAACATAGGCTCCATCACCTTGTTTTCTGTTATTGGGACAGCTATTTCAGCTTTCATAGTTGGTGGAGGAATTTACTTTCTTGGTCAGGTGAGAACGTGCATGGAGAACTTTGCATGCATGAACTTCATTGTGGTGTGGAATACTCTCCAGAAATTAAAGATGTAGAATTGAGTTTAACAGAAATATTTGCAGTAGGAGAATAGCTGGAATAATTGGTAAAGATAAATAAATATATCCATTTTTATTTCTCCCAATACTTTTCCCATTCCAAGTTTATTTCAATTTCTTCATTGCTGAGTTCTTTTAAAAAATAAATAAATAAATGAATGCATGTTCCTATACGTTTCTCCTAACAGAGGAATGAACTCATCACTTAGCTTCCTGCCTTCCTTCTCCTCTGTCTAGAGTTGATTAGGCAACATGGAATCAGGAAATAGAGAAGAAAAAGAAGCACTTTTGTATGGTTAGGAGTCTATTCAAATAGTGTTGGAACTGAAAATTTCCTGTATGGATTTTGCATACAGATTTCCTAGCACACATATTCTTTGCAAGCAACTTTACCTAATTATTTTTAATGTTACCCTTATGAAAATGGCATACTTTGTTCTAATATACATTGTTATAATGATATTTGTATTTGAGAATCCCTTCATAAGGACTTAAATATATGCAAAAGCTTATCATAAAATATATTTATTTTTAGATAAATCAGAGCAATGTTTTGAGAGCCAGTTTGGTGTGGTAGTTAAGGCACCAAGCTAGGAAACGAGATATTGGGAGTTCTAGTCATGATTTATGGATGAAACCAGCTGGTTGACCTTGGGGCCAGCCTTTTTCTCTCCATCCTAAGAAGAAGGCCATGGCAAACCATTTCCAAAATCCTGCCAAGAAAACTGTAGAATCTAGATAGTTGCCAGGAGTCAAGACTGACTCGAAGGCTCAATCAGTCAATCAATCAATCAAGTAGTGTCAGGATTCCAACAGATACCCTAATTAAATCATGAGCTTCGAGCCAAGCTTCAAAAGAAATCCAGTTATTTATTAGGAACAACATGTTGGCACTGCCTACATGTCCTATGTAATTTATTGCCCAATTATGACCCTCTTTACCCCCTCCTCCCAGAGTGTGTCATAAATCACATTCTCCAATGGAACACCTTTGCGGGCTATAGAGATTACACCACTCTGGTTGTAGCAGGTATCCTGGGATACAGCCTTGAGAAAGGTATGTGTGGAATGTGCTTCTGGTTGTGGCTGCTTGGTGTTTTCCCCCCTCCTGTCTATGGCAACTTGAAAGCAGGGCAGGGATGCTTTGCGAGTTGACATAATGCTTCATAGGACACAATGATTTTTTTTTTACAGTTTCCTGGAATTACTGCATTTCAGAATCTTGCATATATCTGACCAGTGATATATTCTCTTTTTTGACTATTCAAAATCTGAAATTGACTTCCTAGAGTTATTTACCATTCGGTCCCTTGGATCTTCTACATCAGGGGTGTCAAACTCGATTTCATTGAGCACAGCATCAGGGTTGCGTTTGACTTCGTGGGGCCAGGGTCAGCATGGCAAAAATGGACTCCCGATCTCCTTTTTTGGCTGCCTCAGCCTCCTGCAACCTGCTGCCAGTGAAAACAGAGGCCCTCCCGAGCTCCATTTTCGCTGGCAGAGACCCCATGGGCCAGTCCTTCACTGTTTCCAAGGCAGACCCGTGGACCAGATCTAAGTACCTTGAGTTTGACACCCTTTTCTACATCATAGACATCATTTTGCTTTTCAGGTTGCTGGCATTTTACATAAGGAAACAACAGTAATTGTTTCCCTAGCTATAGCAGGTACTGTTGTCTGACTTTCAGATGGTTTTAATTAAATCCCAGAGCAGCAAAAGAAAGGCAGAGTATCCCCACTGGGGAACTCCCAGGTAATTAATTACTGCCACAGCAGAGACTGTATCTTTATCAAACATAATGCAAAGCAAGGTGATAGCACCAGCATTTAATATTTGTAATAAAACAGAAGACACTTATATTTAAGATAGGAGTGTTTGTGTTGAGAGTTCATGTAGTAACTCTTTAGGTAGAGTTGAAAGGGACCTGCAAAATAGTCTAGTCCAGAAGTGTAGAGCTTTTCAGAGACAAGAGCTACATCGTTAAAAAGTGGGAAGAGCCAGGACAAGAAAGGGCATAAGACTAGAACAAAAGCTAAATTTGATTTTTACTACATATTTAATAAAGATAATTTTTATAAAATTAATTAAATGTAGATAATATGACTTCTTCTTTTTGTCTCATTAAAAATAGTGTCTAGTGTAATATTGTGGTTGGATTTAAAATTTTGGGAACTGCATGACACTTGGAGGATAGCCCAATACTTGGGAATCAGTGACCCATGAGACATTGCTGACTTCAAAGTCACAGCATTCCTCAACTTTGGCCATGTTGGCTAGGGCTATTGGGAGCTGCAGTTCAATTCAGGTTAGGATCTGTGACCAATATTACTGCTTCAAGCCTTTGAACATCTGATGAAGGACAGAATCACCTGGAAATGGCTTTTATATTTAACGATCCCCCCTTTAATATTTATTTATTCAAAGTCTGCTCTCTAAAATATTTCCCAACCTTGACAAATACCCGATGTGTAGTTTTCATTTCCCAGAATTCTCAACAATGGCCAGTCTGGCCATTGATGAGAATTTCAGAAAAGTGAATTTCAGAAGTTCAGAAAAGTGAGCTGTGATAAGTATTGAAATTCTATTTGCAATTTTGATCAATTAAATTCTGGTTAACTAAAAGAAAGCTGTGATTAGTTAAAAAGAAGAAAAGAATAGCTGTTTAAAAAATGAAAGGAAATAATTGCCTCAAGCAGGCCTCAGCTTGATTATCTTGAATGGAAAAATATTGCTAAAAGATTAGTTTCTTTGCACAAATCCATCTGTCTCTTGAAATCTATTACTGAAACTTCATTCTATAAGTACTTTTGTCATCAGAGTCATAACTACTTTGATGGCCTGCAGTTGGAGACATCTTAGAAAAGTAGTGTAAGTTTGCAAAGGATCCTACATTATCTTGCTATTGTTTCAAATATGACTCTGATCTTAGTTTTCATTTCACTCATTCATTTCATTAGTTTATGCTTCATGTTTCAACTCTATATGCGTATTGCTACTGTTTTGTAGACATATTGTACAATAATAGTTTATGCTTCATGTTTCAACTCTAAATGTGTATTCCTACTGTTTTGTAGACATATTGTACAGTAATTAAATTTAAATTGTCCCTCCACTTGTAATTGCTGTCAGGTGGCATATAAATTTTAACAAATATGATTATTTATCTGTTCAGAACAGTGTGAAATCATAGCTGCCAGTACCTTAGCTGTGTTGGCCTTTATATGCATCAGGTTCTTCTTAAGAACCTAAGGTATTGCAATGTATCGATGTAATATATTTGCAGATGCAAGCAGTGTGGTCTCTTGTAATTGACAGATGGAAATTCTAAGTATTATCTAAGATTTTTGGAAATGGCACCCAGTGTGTCAATAACCACTGGGACCACCATAACTTGTTAATTCCATAATCTTTCAATTTCGATATTCAGACCTTGACAGTCTCAAAGGTGCTTTTTAAAAAGTTAACTGGACTTTGTTTTTCCTTGAAGACCTTTCACTTCTCATCCAAGAAGCTTCTTCAGTTCTGAACAAAGATGATATGATGTGCTGAAAGCACTATTTGTTGGTCTGGGCATAAATGACTGATTTAATTTCATTCTTTAATTCTTTATCTGATTTTATAAAAATGAAATTGTTTCAGTGAGCAGATATGTGCTATACATTAATAACTAGGTTTTTTTGCATGTCATGCTGAATGTCTTTAGCATTTTATAAGAAATTCAAGACTTCTTGACAGCATACTATATTAGTTAGGTCATAGGAATGCTCACCACAACTTTATTGAACATCAGGCTCTTGAGGGACATCAAAAGGCAGCTTTTCTTGAAACATACAAAAATCTACAGGGCAATATCTTGGTGAGAATGGAAGATTTATGTTCTAGGAAATCTTCCATTCTCTAGGGAAGTAAATTTGGAAGTTTCCTCATTTTTTGAAAACACAGAATCCATCTGTAAACTCAAACAAGCAAACTCACTTTGTGATCCTTCAGCAAATATGCTAGTTCCTTGATAGATGGAAAAAAGGAGAGTTAACTTTTATAAGATTTCTGCTTTTCTCAATTTTTCTAGGCTGATGTAATTTATAAACTGAATATGACTGACAGGTAAGTTTTGACAGAAATTTATATAATCTTTGTGTGTTTGTAAGAGTCTTCAAGCTGCTGCAGTGAACACAGTGACTACATTTATCATTAGGTTCTTGATTCCTGAGCACTATAGTTAGACAGGATGCTGGTTACTATACTTGTGGCCAACGTTAAGTGGTGATGTTACAATGCTTAACTAGGGTTTAGATAAGTAGGTGGAAATGTGAATCAAAGAGGATATGGCAACTCAACATGGCATAGCAATGTGCCTTCAGCCTTTTCACTATAAAGAAGTCATTGCTTATTTATTTTAATATACAGCACCAGATGACTTGCATCACATGGTTTGGCTAAATCTTTATTAGTTTTGAAAAATCCTAGAAAATGGCTGAAAGATTACTAGAAGAGAGCAGACAGCTATCTCTTAAGGATCTGACAAATTAACAGCAATGGTTAGAAAGATATTGTAATTATATATTATGATGTATATTGTTTGTTAAAATGTTATGTTTAAATAGAAGGGATACATTTGTTGATGAAAGTTCTCAAAAGGTGTCTAGGATGTCCTGTTAAACCAGAAAGGAAATCTAAATGCAACCTGTTAATAATAATAATAAATTTAAAAATTAGATTAATTATATAATGAAAATCTGCCGTTGAGCAGGTTGCTTTAAAATATTTTTAAAAATATGCTCTTTTATTTTTCTTGTTGATAATTGTTAGTCTGCATGGGCTCAGATTCATCTTCTGAGGAAAAAACATTAATGCATTCCAGGATAATGATGATCTAAATCCATTGATGCATTTCAGGCTTGCTGAGTAAGCCTCAAACAATAGCATTTAATAATTCAGACATTATGTTAATGTATTTATTGTATTTCCTAACAGTTTTGCCTTTGGTTCCTTGATCTCTGCTGTTGATCCAGTAGCTACTATTGCTATTTTTAATGCTCTTAATGTAGACCCTGTGCTTAACATGTTGGTCTTTGGAGAAAGCATTCTCAATGATGCAGTCTCAATTGTCCTGACAAAGTAAGTACATTCATTTACATGGAAGAAAAAAATGGTTTGAAATTAATGCTCATTTAGACAAAGATTAATGTGCTTCTTTAAACACTACTTATTTTAATGCAATAAATATGCATAATATGCACTTATGCTCTTTTGGTTAGCATGCTTTTTAACCATCACTCCTCCTTAATTGTCACATTGATGCTTGCCACCCACTCTCATATAAAACAGCCCCAATTATTCTTTCTCTTAGGAGCTACAGAAGTGCAACCTATATTTAATTACACAGAAGGACAGGAATTCGTGTTGGGAACATTCTTCAGCACTATAGTCTTTATGAATTCCTTTTTAAAATTCTGTGAGAAGCTGGTTTGTAAATTCATTCTGCTTTCATGGCTTATAATTGTTGCAGTATTGGTTTCTGGGTGTGAGACCAGAAATGGAGTTATTTTGTAGATGTTTACAAAGCTCAGTTTTTAATAAATCAGTAGGAATGTTGAGCAAAATAGGTACTTTTTGATTGCTTGGTTGGAAAGTCATGTAGGTGAAAGTACATTTTCTTGATGAATTAGATGCTGTGCCTAAGGATATCATTATATTTTATTTATTTTAAACGCTTTCTATAGATGGCTTCCACGTATACACATTAATATTGTGTGATTTGTCAAGGATCTAATTCTTCCCACCTTAGCCATATTAGGATCTGGAAGTTTTTGCATGAAGTATATATATTCATTCATTTCCTTCCTTCCCTCCCTCAAAATATAAGCTTATTCCCCTACCCTTTTCTCATTTGCTTGAGGATCAGAAGAGCAAGCATCTTATTTTTGATTCTGTAATATTGTACCTTCTGCCTTTTTTCTTTGTCTGTGAAAGATCTGTTAGAAGGATTTCATTTCTTTTGCTGTAAGTAGGTACCCTCCTGGCTTATTTTGTACCACTTTAATAACAATAGAAAAACCAAGTATAAGCTTCCAGATCTTTAGAACAGCTGTGTTTCCCTTTGAAAAATAGTGCCTCTTGACTTGAGTGAATGTCTTTTGTCATTCCCCTAGACATATTACGATGAAAGCATTTTAAGAGCAATTTCAACAATACACAAAAATAAAAAATTTACAGATTCTGCATTCCGTATCCCAGATTCTAATGTGTAATCCCCTTTGGTTGTCCTTGTTTTTTTATTATTATTATTCTCAGTACAGCAGAAGGTTTGACGAGAGAACATACATCTGATGTAAATGGATGGCAAACCTTTTTACAAGCACTGGCTTACTTTCTGAAGATGTTCTTTGGTTCTGCAGCACTGGGGACACTGACTGGTCTTATTTCTGCATTAATATCCTTTGCTTTTAGATAAAATAAATATTTTCTCTTTAATAATAACCCATTTCTGAAGATGATTATTCTTTTAAAACATAACATTTTTCACAGCAAGTGTTAGCTAGTAACAATTTCAGATTTGCATGAAACTTATATTTGTACAAGTCTTTCATTAAGGCCCAAGTTGCTCTATAATAATTCATTGTATATGCTGATGCAGTGTTGTTGACTGGGGAATTCTGGGAGTTGAAGTCCACACATCTTCTAGTTGCCAAGCTTGAGAAACACCATGCTAATAGATGAGACTAATATATGATTTTCCAGCTGTAGTTTTAGTACATTCATTATATTTTCAATAACATGTTAGTACATGTTTCAGTTTTCAAATGCATTAGATATCTGATTTTATTTTCATGTTGGCAGCTTTAGAATTGAATCCTGAAATTATCCTATACCAAAAGTCTATCTGGTTAATTGGCCTGGCCCCTTTAGTATGGAATTTATGTTTGACATAGGGTTTGATTTTTCATAGTAGCTTGAACTGCTTTTCTGTTACAACATGTACTGTATGTTTCATTTTTTTCTCCTCTTCCAGTATTATCTGGTCAACTAAAGCATTGTTTCATTATGGTCTGAATTTCTCTTTTCCTATAAACAATAGAATTCCCTAATTCTTTTGTTGTTGAAATATATAATTTAATTTAGTTATTTTGTGTGCAAAGAGTTGATAATGGTTAAGATGCTAGTGATAAGTAACAAGACTTACAATACTCTTACAGTGTAGATTGGAAAGGGAATTGTAGGAACACAGGAATAACAATAATAATAACACCAGCAACACAACAGTATATATTTATTACAACAATTTCTAAGCAGTATGAAAACATAGAAAATAATAGAATCACAGAGTTGGGCTGGGTTATTAATTAAAACTAAAATATTCATCAGCTTCAGATGAGGTCAAAGGAAGCCCACAATCTCTCTAGGTCAGTGTTTCTCAACCTGTGATCTGTTGGTCCTGGGGTAGGGGTAGGGAGGGATGTCATCAGTGGGTGTCCCTAGAGGGTTGAAGAAATATTCTGATTTAAATCTTGTGTTAATTCTTGGGGGGAGGGGGTGTTCATGGCCATGGTCTGTGGCCACAAAAGGTATTTAAAGAGGGCCCCTGGCAAAGAAAAGGTTGAGAACCACTGTTTTAATTGGTTCTATCATGAACTGTTCTCATTGTTCAGATTTTTTTTTATCACTGAACATGCCTTCCTATCAGTCTTTTATTATTGAATAATTAATGTTAATACTTCTCTGTTGAACCACAATCTGGTTACTTAGTATATTAAGGATATTGGACATCTCAGGAAAATTCAACCTATTATTGCTTAGCCTTTTAAGCAATGAATTCTTTTCTGTTTTTTTTCTGACTGGCAGCTGAAAATTGACAGAAAACTATTAGGCTATGATATGCTTGAGGCCATGCAGACTTTTATGCCACTTCTCAAGATTTCTCTTGTAGGTTCCAAAGATTGAAACAGACTTCAGCTTCATCACCTCCCATTTAATTATACTCTCAATTATCTTTGTTGTTTTTACATTTATTGAAGAAAGCCTCCATTAATGTTATAGAAGTCCAAATTCCACACATCTGACCAGCAGGAGTATTAAATATTGATTGAAGTAAAGTTATTTGCTATGGCTGGACTGTGCCTATGAGAAATTCATGTTTATTTTTTATCATTTTTAGAGCTTTATGCATTCCATCTGTTAGACAAAATGCATTATGTCTAATGAAGGAAAACATTAATTGGACAGTTTCAAATAGTTTAGACTACAGTCCAGCTCTCCTTTTAACCACCATTGGCCTTAGCCAAAGATGGTTGACATCTGGAACATTTGGAGCAGAGTATCTCACATTGGGAGGCTGGTTGAGAGCAAATGGACAATTTAGTGAGTTTTATTTGTTTCTCATGATAAGCCTGTAAAAAACATTTTTATTTCTGAGGATTCAATAGATAACATTGCCTTGTTATCTAATGAATGTTTATATGTAGCTCAGAGTTGAACTGTGTAAACCTTGGTTGAATTTGGTTGCTTTCTTGCAGATATTTCATTACCGACCTAGATAACATCTTCGGTGTTAGAAAGAAATGGGGTTTGCTCTGTTTATATGAGCTCTGGTGGCACAGCGGTTAGAATGTAGTACTGCAGGCTACTTCTGCTGACTGACTGCAATTTGGCAGTTCGAATCTCAACAGGCTCAAGGTTGACTCAGCCTTCCATCCTTCCGAGGTTGGTAAAATGAGGACTAAGATTGTTGGGGGCAATATGCTGACTCTGTAAATCACTTAATGAGGGCTGTAAAGCACTGTGAAGCACTATATATGTCTAAGTGCTATTACTATATACAATAGCTTGCCCTGTAAGAGTTGGTGGGCATGTTTTTTTCCCTTGGTAGTAACTTGATTTGTTTACTGCTTGATTGTTTTTCTGAGTTGTAGTTCTTTGATTTAGGGTATTGATTATTGATCCATTGTTTGTCTAGTGTTAGTCCTGTCTTATTTGGGTGGTGATTACTGGTGAGGATATGTTCTGTTCTTTTATTTCTTACTTAGCTTTTTATTGTTTCTTTTGAATAGCATGCAAACTTTATCTTTATGAGTTTGTTCATGGCTGATTTGTCTGACTGCCTAGCCTCTAGGAATTACCTCGCTCTTTTGGATATAGCTTGGTCTAGAAGGCTCATGGTTTTTTGAGTTGAAACTATGGTTAGATCTGCCCATGTGTTATGAAATTATGGAGTTTTCATCGTTTCTTCTGACTCCTAGTTAGCATTCATGGATGCACTTTGCTAGTTTTCTGTTTGTTACATAGATTGTTACAGTCCTTACACTGTAGTTGTAGATTGCTCCTGTTTTTACTTCTTGGGTCACCGGATCTTGGGTTACTTCAAATGTTATGGAGGGTTTTAATTGGTGTCACATAGTTAGCTATGTGATAAAGAGTCCTGGTGGTGCAGTGGTTAAGTGCAATCTTTGAGGCAAACTCTGTCCATAGCTTGGAGCTCGATCTGGACAGGGCTCAAGTTTGACTCAGCCTTCCATCTTGCCAAGATTGGTAAAATGAGGACCCAGATTGTTGGGGGCAATAACCAAATGAAACTGACATTGTAAACTACCCAGAGAGTGTTGTAAAGCACTATGGGGCGTTATATAAGTGTAAATGCTATCATCGCTGTGTGATGCCATGTGGTTGTGATAGTCTGTTGTTTCTGAGATGTTTTTGATGTATGATAATATTAACCATTTCATAGCTTGAGTTGGTTGTCAGTTGAGTCATCAACCAATTTCTTATAAAGTTGTGAGTGTGTCCATTTTGCTGGGAGTTGCATAGGCAGTCTGTTTCCTTTTTCTGGTGTTCTGAGTTGCTGCAGTGCATTTGTGCTCATCTAAATAATGTTCTTACACAGCTCTTCTTTTTTGTGTATATATGCTATATATACATATGCATATACGTAATATAGATTGAGATTTTTAAAAACAGTAAAAAATAGATAAGCAAAAACAATAATTAAAAGGAAAGTTTTAAAAGAAAAAAGAAAAGAATAGTGCAGAAACAAAAAGGAAGGAAGAAGTAAAGACAATAGAAAAAGAATGACTTCTAACTATTTTTGATACAGATATAAATGAAGAATACGTCAAACCCCTACTGTAAAAATAACAAACAGTCCACATTATTTCTGTAATGGCATATAATTCTAACCTATTTCCAAAATCACAATTTCATTTCTTTCATTTTTTCTCAAAAAGTCAGAAAGTGGTTTCCTGGTGAAAAATAAAATTGGTCAAAGTCTTTGTCTGTAATCAAAACTGCCAATTCCACAATTTCTGTCAATCCCATCAGCTTAATCATCCATTCTTCCATTGTGGGTGTTTATAAGACCTTCCACTTTTGTGCATGTAAAGTGTTCCTCTGATTTGTTGATGTATTTCTCCATTAATTGAAAATAGGTAGTGAGGCAGAGGTTGATGAATGCCGTGAATCTGGGTATTTTGACCTTGTGTGTTGTGGTAGATAGTGAGCAACTGGGCATTTTGATAACCTGTTCAGGTATCTCTGGTTCAACTTGAGCATTTTGGTTTGCAGTTTTGTTTTCCTTTATTTAGCTTCTGTTAAGGATGTAATATGTGATAGTGGTTGTCAGCATTTCTTGTGTGCTGAGATCATAGCTTGTTCTAGCTATTCATGTTTTGTGTTTTATCTCAGATTAGAACTTTAACTTTTTGTTAAAACACAAAAGGTTTTGTGTGTTATCTCAAAATTGGTAACTAGAAATTTGTGTGAGAAATTACACTCTGTGCATAATCAAGATTTTAGATCAGGATCAGACAACCAGTTGTATTTAAATGTTTAAATTAATGTTTTAGACCACAGAGTTACACAATGCCAGATCATTGCACATGCTAATTGGAATGTTTGAATCACATTATTAAAAAGAAAAATTGAAGGTATCACATTCTTGATTTAGGTAGGCATACTATCGCAGTCTAGAATATTTCAAATATGCTTGTAAAAGGCATATAAAATGTTTAAAGTTCTTTCTTTATAAGTATTGATTGAAACAATTCTTTTTGATGTTTCAAGCCTAGAATGGAGGGCCTTGGCTTTTGAAATATTGTTAGATTTAGCTTCCCATCATCCCTAATGATGAGTCCTACTGCCTGGAGCTATAGGGAGTGGGAGCTCAACAACATTGGGTTAGCCACTATTAAAACTGAATATTAATTAGCTTATAGAGCAGCTTGGAAAATTAGAGCATCCAGTGCTCAGAGTTTCAAAGTAGATTTAGAACAGCATCGAGGCAGGGTTAACCTTTTAAAAAGCAGGATTGGACAAAGTGATTTCTAGATGGTGATTCTCCAACTTTATGGAGCTGTAATTATTCAAATATTCTTGAAAGCAGATTTTTTTGGACAGACTGAAATATCACATTAGGCAAAATCCCTGTTGAAAATGAATTTCAGAGGTACTTTTTCAGTCAAAAGAATTGAAAAATTTAAAGGGGAGTCTTCAAAAGAGTTTTGATAGCAGTTTATTGGAAGCAGTATGTTTGTCATATCTATTCTTAGCCTTGAATATGAAGTACAATAACGGATCATAATTGAAAAGTCAGATTGACTGTCCAAGCCAACATGCATAAATGTGCCCACTCTCTTTATGCAGCTATTTGACCACTAAAATTATTAAGTGGCTTCTTTATAAACAAAAATCTATGTTCTTTACAGAGAAAGTAAGTTGATTTTCATTCCATTGAAGTATTTAGATAATGCTTTCAAATAAGTTAAAACCACATATATAGAGTACAAAGAAACTCACTGTGGAATTGTTTCTATCTTAAAAAATATGTAGTCCAGACACATTTACCCATCTGCCCTTAGAACTGTAATCTGTTAGAAGATGATCACTGATAATTATATTTTCAGCATCTCATATATTGAGAGTTACAGTTGTATGTAAGGATATTTCCTTTCCAACGCTGCCTTTTTTATCAATATTGGTTTCAACGCTACCTTTTTAACCAACATTGGTTTCCTGCCACTCTGGACTTTGACTGTTTGACTTCCCTCACCCATATATTTAGGGCCTGTGATCCTGTCTTTCTTAGCCCTGACTGTTACCATCATTATTATATTGGTTTTACCCCCAGAAAGAAATTTTGGACCTGGGCTGCGGGTGGACAGACGACGGCAGTATTGTGTGTTCGCACTGAACCCCCGCAGGACCTTTTGACCAACAAATTTGCAAAAGAAGAGAGGGGCAACAAGACACTCCCCCGTATATTCCATCTGAACTATAACTGGTCCCTAGCCACTTTAACTCCGAACATTAAGAGCCAATTTTGCCATCTGAACTCGCACCTTAAATTTTAAACAACTGCGCAACTATTTTTTAGTTTCCTTCTTTTCTTTCATCTTTCTCTTCTTTCTTTGTATGGGATATGCATGAGATACGTATGAGATGAATGAATGTC